ATTGAAAATTCTCGAAAAGAATATCGAATGCTTCACCAAAAAATAGACCGCTTGAAAAAACGCATGGTCACTGCAAACGATTTGTTGAAAGAGCTGAAAGATAACGAAAGATATTATTTATTTTAGTTATTTCCCGAGAACTAGCAGCAAAAAAAAAACAGAAAAAGCTAAGAATGGGAACTTGCTTTTACATGTTTATCGCTTGACTCGCGAGGCTAATCTGATCTTTTCGTAACTAAAACGGATCTCTACTTGCGAGTCTAATATCGAGTGTCCTTTGCGCATTGTAACCTGCGTCAATTCCGGTAACTTACTGCTCGACAATTAAAATAACTGGCAAGATTTGAACAAAAGGAAATAAGAAATACAGGCTAGTCGTTGATTATAAACAATTAAATGACCGAACCAGATCGATATCCTTTACCAAACATACAATTAGACATAATTGACCACGTCGTCAATGCAAAATATATCAGTACGCTCTATCTCTCAAGTAGATTTTACCAGTGTTTAAAAAAAGAAGAACATCGATAAAAAACAGCATTTTTTATTACGTTTGGACTTTTTCAATTTGTTAATATGCCAATGGGGTTATGTAATTCACTTGCAACCTTTCAAAGGGGTATGGATATAGCATTCAAGGGATTACAACAAAAAGATATTTTTCTTTATTTGGATGATGCCGTAATTGTTTTTAAACAAAAAAAGAACATTACGCTAAGCCATATAATTTCTATGCAGAGTAAGGAAGGTAAACCTCAAATTACAACCAGAAAAATGCATCTTTTTGAAGACAGAGGTAATATATCTGGGGATGTACTGAGTGAAAATGAGGTAAGATGCGACCCTAGAAAATTGGAAGCGGTAAGAAAACTTCCAACACCACGCAATATAAAGCACATAAGGCATTGGGACTAGCAGGATATTACTGAAGATTCATAAGAAATTTTGCAGATATTGCAAAACCACTCACCGAATGACAAAAGAAGGACAGAGAATTTAAAACGCCTTAGACACGCTAAAGGTCTTATTGTGCAAAGGTCCGGTACTATAAGTAGCCGACCCGAGTTTACAGTACATAGTCACATCGGTTGCATCAAAAATAGCGATAGGAGGTTACCTAGCGCGGATAAAAGACAAGAAAGAAATGCCAATTGGGTACGTATCACGTGCACTATCAGATGCTGAACAAAATATGATACATACTCAAGAGAGGCTTTAGCTATTGTTTTCACTGTAATTAAGTTTAAGACATATTTATTGGGAAGAAAATTTATCATATATACAGACTGCCAACCACTGCTCTATTTTAGACATTCGAGCGATCCAAATTCAAGGGTTAGTCGTTATCAATTTTCCATGTCTCTTTTCGATTATGAAATACGTTGCATCCCAGGAAAGACAAATGTTGTAGCTGACTGTTTATCACGCAACCCAGTAATTGAAGGTATGAATGTAATGACGAGAGCTTGTCAAACCAACACAGCACCCTTAAATTACAGGCTGACAAGAAAATATAGCACTAAGCCGAAAATCAAAATGCCAATAATAGAACAAGAAATTGAAATACACGAGCCCGAGTCCGATCAGTTAATTTCATTGAATCACCATTAAAAGCTCCTGCAAACAAACGTCAGCAAAGAAATACAGGATAAATCAGTGTATCGATGCCTCCTAGCAACAAGATGCCAGTTCACACAGCAGAGCAGCATCATGCCAGTTCAGAATCTATTCGGCAAGATGCTACTTCAGCGCACCGTTCGGCAAGATGCTGCTTCAGCGCTGCGTTCAGCAAGATGCTAGTTCGTGGCCGCGTTCTGCATGATGCTACTTCGAGGCCCATATGATGAAAATAATAAAAATCAAAGCTCGGCTATAGATTATACTTTGCGAAGACAATTTAAAACTGTACACTTCTTGTCAGCCTGTAATTTAAGGGTGCTGTGTTGAATTTACAAGCTCTCATCATTACATTTATACCTTCAATTACTGGGTTGTGTGATAAACAGTCAGCTACAACATTTGTCGTGTTCAGTTTTAAATTGTCTTCGCAAAGTGTAATCTACAGTCTAGTTTTGATTTTTATTATTTTCATCATATGGGCCTCGAAGTAGCATCATGCAGAACGCGGCCACGAACTAGCATCTTGCTGAACGCAGCGCTGAAGCAGCATCTTGCCGAACGGTGCGCTGAAGTAGCATCTTGCCGAATAGATTCTGAACTGGCATGATGCTGCTCTGCTGTGTGAACTGGCATCTTGTTGCTAGGAGGCATCGATACACTGATTTATCCTGTATTTCTTTGCTGACGTTTGTTTGCAGGAGCTTTTAATGGTGATTCAATGAAATTAACTGATCGGACTCGGGCTCGTGTATTTCAATTTCTTGTTCTATTATTGGCATTTTGATTTTCGGCTTAGTGCTATATTTTCTTGTCAGCCTGTAATTTAAGGGTGCTGTGTTGGTTTGACAAGCTCTCGTCATTACATTTATACCTTCAATTACTGGGTTGTGTGATAAACAGTCAGCTACAACATTTGTCTTTCCTGGGATGTAACGTATTTGAGTCCTCTAAAACAGAAGATAGAGCTATTTGAAGTTTTACTGAGAATTAAAGCATTAAATCTGTCATTTTCATAGACCAGTTGATATGATACTTGAATGTTCAGTAAAACTTCAAATAGCTCTATCTTCAGTTTCAGAGGACTCAGAGATTTTGTACATATACCAAATTAACGGTTATTTTATGCTCTTTAAGTTTATGTACTTATGTTTAAGATTTTAATTTACCTAGCATGTGTAACATGTAAAAATATAAGGCTATACTCTGTTTTAGGGGCCTTTTTTGCACGTTTTTAGACACATTTTAGCGTCTTCAAGGCAAACCAAGGCTCAAATCTTTATAAAAACTTACGAAGGAGTAGTTGACATGTTGAGGAATGTTCTTAAATAGTTTTGGAAAGGAAAGTCCGGATCATACTTGATTAGATTTAGTGTTTTTTGTTTTTTCTTGATTATTTCTATTGCAGAAGCCTCCAGAGTGCTCAGATCACTTCGGAACCCATTTTTTCTAAAAGTTTGGACAATTTTTAACAAAAAAGCTATATAGACCATTGGTTATTTCCGCCCAACCCTAGCGTGCTAGTGTGTGAATGCATTATTTTGTAATCCTCTTACGTGGCAATATTCCGAACCCCGGAAGATAAACATTACAATATATAGACAATACATTAACTAAACTGTTCCAGTGAAGTAAAATTTTTATAGTTTTCACTGTGAAGATAAAAGTAGATTTAAAGATTTTTCTTGTCAATCATCAAATTAAATTGTAATAAATTACCGAAAACGTGCGGACCAAATTTAGCATCTGCCGAAGTGATTGAGCCGATACAACCAATAGGGTGGCACAGCAAATACTGTTTCGTCGAAAATTCAGAATTAATCTGAATTTTCGTAATTCAACTTGTAAGGGGTTTGATAAAATAAAACACGCGTTTTTAAGAGGAAAAAATGTATAAAAAACCTCTCTTTATTAAAATCGATTGAAATTGAATGGATGGATTCGATGTGATCGTGATGGTAGCCAAAGCTAGACTGACTGATGTGCAGCTCAGAGCCGCCGAACGACAGTATCTTAACGACACTGGGAATCACGCACATACATGGCCGTGAGATGAAAGGTGTTAGCGCGCGTACAGTACACGTTACGACGCGAGAAACAAGTCAAAAGCAACAAAGGCGCGTGCCGGCCGGCGTGTCGAATTTCATGCGTAGATCTTTATGCTAGGTACTTCAATAACGCGAAAACAAAATACGCGCGTCTCACTAGCTGTTGCTATTGCCATGTATGTGTATGTGTTTTGTATATGCTCGGTGAGAACTGAACAAATACGTTTATATTGTAATGTGGGCACACTGGCACCACTTAAGGAAGACAACGGCGTAGAACACAACAAAGGCAGCAGTGATAGCGATTCAGGGTCGGACGAGTACATTTATGTCAATGACATACATACAACAAGGAACTTTCATTATGCAGTACGTAATGATTGGATAACAGTAACCATGGCCGATGGGCAAGTAACTTTCAAAATCAATGGTGAGGTAAAAGCAGTATTTGATCGTAATATACGATGTCAGGAGGAGAATCTTGAAAATAACGCGCCAAGCTGTCCCATATGTGGCGGGGCCCCAGATACAACAGGAGATCATATATTTGCGGATTTCGACTAAATAAATGGTCACGATCTATCTCGAGATTAACATGTAATAAAAAAGCAACAGAAAGAAAAATATCTATATTTTGTAAACGTTTATATTATGAAAAAAAATTGATTATCATGGTGTAAAAGGAATAAAAAAATCCTATAAATGAATATAGAAATAGAGGAAAGTTATATGATGAGAAAATAAAAAAAAATGTACATTAGAAAATAAGGAGTTTTGAAAATAAAGCACACGATAATAAAATCCATATGTCAAAATGAAATTTCATTCATGAAAATTATAAATTGATTATAAAAAATATATAAAATTTCAAAAACGAATAGACCGTATGTAAAAACAAAAGGGTTTATATTTTTTAAAGTAGAGGCCTACATACATTCAAGCAACTACGTCACAGAAGATCTTTTAGTATAACTACAATTAGTAAGCTAATACTGTTTTTATAAATTAGAAATAATTACGGACCAAAAAAAAATAAATCAGAGTGTGCATAAAAAGATATGAATGTTATAATAATATTGTAAACTCCCTACACACTACGCTATGAAATAGGAGACAACGGTAAGTTCATTTAATTATTAAAAGTAATTGGGCCAGGAAAAGGGCTCATTACAATCGTATGCAAATTCTGATACAAAATAGGGCTTAAGATCTGATGTGCATTCACCTGAACTTATATCAGATCTGATATCAAATCTGGAGTCAGATCTGATATACCACATTCACCTGAGAAGAGCCTATAAAATAGGAAAGTTTTCCGAAAATTATCTTATATTACTTAAGCAAAGGATTTATTGCATTTAAAATAAATTATTTTTGAAAACATTATAAAAAAATTATTGAAAGCAGCTCATTACATACACATTTAACTATAAAAAATCTGGAAAAGACTCTTAATAATTCAATCCACGAATTGAGTACAAAACTATGCATGACAGTATAAATCCTGATAAACTTATGCACTGTATAATAACTTGAATACTGTTTACAGTATAGTATGCATGATATAACATTTTCATAATTGAATCAGGCAATTCATCTATTCCGATTTCTACCCACATAACAGGTAATAAAGTTCCATCTATAATAGGACCTAAGAAAGGTACATTTTCTGCCTTAGTGGCTACAATATTCATTTGCATTCTGGATCTTCCTTCAATTGGTACTCCAAGACGCTGAAATAGAAAAATTAGGAAAAAAATTGAAATATGAATAAAATAATGTCTGTATTTTTGTATACCAATAAAAAAATATAAATAAACACTGCCTCAATATCCGTGTGTTTGTTTAGTGATTTATCATGATTATTTATTTTACCCTAATAATCTAGCCAACAGTGAATAACAACAATAAAAGAAAATGATAATTTTGGTAAGGTATGGCAATCATTTTGGTTTGGTAAGGTACAATTTTTTGCTCACATACACATATAACAAACCTCGTTGGTCTAGTGGGTAAGGGCGTTGGGTCATCGGCCTGCTAAACCAACGTTGTTAGTGAGGGCGCGGGTTCGATCCCCACTAAGGGAAATTTCATTAGTGATTTTTGGTTCGGTGAGGTCAAGCTCGAGCCCAAAACCGTGTACGGATCCCACTCCGAGCTTAGTAAATAATAACCCCTACGGAAATTTCAGCGCTACTCTAATTCTTAAAAACTCTTAAAAACTCTTTAAAAGTCTAAATAAGTCTTAAAAAATCTTATAAATGTTCCGATTTCGTACCATGATTTTTAAGAGTTAATAAAACTTTATAAGAGTTTTAAATGATTTAAATAGAAATATTCAGACGGGTAAGGCAATCGCTCATTGAATTTTAAAAAATGTATACAAGTTACAATAATTTTTATAAAGAGTTATGAAGAGTTATTAAGAGTTATATAGTGTTGATGAAAGTTTTCAATATTTTTAAAGACTTTTTTGATCGATATCCACGTTCGCCAAAAGTCAAGGTGAAAAAAATATACAAGCAACTGTATGAACAATATAGAAAAAATATAAAAAATGAAAAAAAAAACTTAACATTTTTGCTAAAAAATTGAGTCTTCACAAGGTTTTATGAGTTTTTAAAAACTCTTATTAACTCTTTAAAATCATTAATCAGGTGTACGAAATCCGATCATTTGTAAGACTTTTTAAGACTTTTTTAGATTTTATAAAACTTTCTCATGAGAAAAATTTCCGTCGGGGAACCAAATGTGGCGGCGTTTGGCGGCAAAAAGCATACGCGCCAGACGGATTAAGAGAGCCAGAAATAATAAGACGGTGAAACGGTGACGGGGAGCAGTAACAACCTCGTTAAAAAATCGAAGCATATCTAACCCAGATGTTAGAACCTCGTAAAAGTCCCTGTGCAGAGTTACAGTTACTGCCGTGTTTGTCGTGCGGAGCGACCCGTGAACAGACAAAAGGAGATCCTGGGTGGCAAGGCGATAATTTATTTATAATTTTTTTGGATGCACGTAAACAAAGATGTGACATCCAAAGAAATAAGTGTGTAACTATCTGATAAGGAGAAATTATTCATTGTTTTAACAAAGGTGCGACTATTATTATTGATATGAGATTTGGGTAAAGGAATAGCATTTTTGATACAATCATGTAGAGTTTTTGAAAGAAAGTGAGTGAGACTATTGATAGTTGAAATTATAGGTCGTAGGGGGTATCTTTTTTGGGTATTTTCGGAAGACCATAGCATTTTGCTAATATGGTATTCTTTTTTTCGATTTTAAGCCCCCTTTTAGCCCTTAACATCGTTTACCTTTAACATCGTTTTATTGTATTTTTATTTATTTATTATCCAGTGTTCATTTGGCAGTCGATCTGTTTTGATGTGTTTCCCTTTGTTTGTTGACTACAACGTTTAAACTGTGTTTAACTGATTTCTCCGGTTTCAAGATGCTCGGAGAGAGGAAGGATGTTACCCGAAGCAGACGGAAAATCCAAGTCGGGCTGGGCCTCTGCAACCAGTAGTAAAAAACGAGATAGAGGTAGCCCCGATTCAATCAAATTCCCAATAAAACGCCAATCTATAATCAATACTATAATCTATAATCTATAATCTAACTTCCAATAAGTGTAGTCCTCTGGAGAACGAAAAAACCGCTAATGATACCGAAGTACAAACCGTCGATGATAGTACGGTTGAAAATCCATCTACCAGCATTACAAATAAACAATATTTCTCTAAAAACTAATACCGATTATCGATTATAAGTAGCACTCTTTTTGGCCCACTGAGACATTTCCTGGAGTTGAATGGCTGGAAGGCCTGGCCTTCGATCGCCGTTACTACAGCTCGTCGAGCAGCAGCAGCGCACAGGTAGTTATCCCTGCGAGGACTTGAGAGTATGTAAGCTCAAGACAGCTCCTCATTACCGGCAAAGGCCGAGAAATTAAATTATAGCTTAAGGGGACACATACACCTTAAGCTCAAAAATTTTTTTATTGCTTTATTGAGTAGGATTTTTCCGTCCCTTTCGATTGCTTTTTCGAAATTCCAAAATTTTGATTTTGCCCTGAGATACAGCTGTTTCCGTGAACCCTTTTCCTATACTTTACGTGTTAAATTTTTTTTCTTTTGCGTTTTCTGGCGAGTAGTTTTTTTGGTCATCTATCGTAACTTTCAGAGGGTATCGATTGAGCTCCAGCACCAGGGTCGCGTACACTTTTTCAGAACATCAATGGTTACGGTCACTGCCTCGGATGAGACGATCGAACGAATAGGTCGCTCTCAAACAGTACTTTTATGACTTAAATTTCGGTAAATACGAAAAATGGAAAAAAATTTGTGCTTAACTGTTCATGCAGAGCAATCAGCCCTTAATGCAAAAAATCGTGCTGTTGAACAGCAACGTACATCGGTGTTCATCGGTGACATCGCGACTACCTACCAGGTCAGTGGATTAATCTAATGAATTTACTGCTGATCGGACACATCAACCAGTGTTCGTAACATTGTCGACCTGTGGCACCGCATCATTTTGAATTCGGCATCTTCCACCTTTGACCATCGGCAGTAAACCAAGCATCGTAGTATGGCAAATCAGCATAAGTAATCGGCAGTCATCGCGGCAATGCAAGGAAAATAAAGCTAAGTATTTCACACGGAAATCAATAAAAATTAACAAGTTGATCAATTACTTTCGTTAAAATGTAACATCGGATTACCCACTTAGTTTCCCAGGCAGAATGTTTTTTAAACGTTCCTACTACGTTGTACACATTTAGGGGTGGACATTTAAACGTTTCTGGAAGGTTCTACAAAAGTTTTTTAAACTTTTTTCTGAAACGTTCCAAGGTTTTTAATTTAACGTTTCAATAACGTTGTACAAACGTATCGTGCTATTAGGGAATCAAACTACAAAGAACTCTCGCCCGGCAAGTTTACTGACTACTCTCTTTGGAAGGACACCAAAAAGTTAAAGCATCTAAAACAACACTCCTCTCCTACACTTAATCAGGACGGTGTCTGGGCCAGATCCGATGATGAAAAAGCCCTTCAGTTTGCTCAATACTATGCTGGTAACTTTGAACCTCTTGAAGCGGTTATACGTGATGAGGACGAGAAGAGATTATTGGAGCCTAAAAACTGAAGTGATCAAGACAACCTCAGAAGGGTCAGCTATGAAGAGGTGGTAGCAATCATTGGGTCTTTCAAGTAGAAGAAAGCCCCTGGATGGGACGGAATAGGTGGTAAATTAGTCAAGGAGCTACAGCCCAAAGCAATTAGATACTTGTCAGTCCTTATTAATGGTTGTTATCGTGTATGTTACTTTCCTAATGCGTGGAAAAGAGCCTAGCTGATAGTAATTCCTAAGCCTGGAAAGGACCCTACACAGGTAAACTCTTACAGGCCTATAAGTCAGTTACCGGTTTTCTCCAAAATTGCTGAAAAAACAATCCAATTAAGATTAAATCAAGCTATTACAGCAAACTCCCTTATTTCAGAACATTAGTTTGGATTCAGGAGTAAGCACGCTACCACGGAGCAAGTCAATAGATTGACTGTTGAGATCAGAATCTTCTTACCTGGCGGCACCATATCTGGGTCAAACATAAGCAGCTCGGATCGCAGCTCGGATCGCAGCTTAGGAAAATGTACTGGCTGATGGGCCCAAGACCACAACTCTCACTAGGAAATAAAATACTCCTGTATATAACGAAAATAGTTAGTTGGAATACATACTCAAATTTCATGATAATAGCTTGCAAAGTCTGGTTTTCAATTTTAAAACAGAAAATTTATTTTTTACATGTACGGTAAGAAAATGTACTTTTGGTTGAAAAAAGAAAACTATTCATCGCGTAGATCCAAATCCAATTTGATACTCTTCAAATTATCCAAATGCTCATTATTAAACACAATCTACCATTGTTCAATTAGATGGCTATGATATGAATGAAATCAACCATATTCTGACAGTTATTCAGCGTAACTGAAATTTTTATTTTTCAAATACTATATCAAATTAAAAAGTTTACCATGCAGCAATTTAAAATTGTGGTAATACTTTTTTCAAAAGATTAAATGAGTGCAAGTATGACAGTTTTATCCCAATTGAAATCTAACTCACAAATCTTTTATTTTTTTAATTTTGGAATAGTTGAATATCAAACTAGTATTGAACAATTATTAAATGAGCTATGATAGTTATGAAATCAAACATATTCTGACAACTATTCATGCGCAAAATGAAATTTTCCTTTCATACTTCAATTATACTAAAAGTCTGAAAAATAGTTCAGTACGTGATTTTTAACACGTATTTTGTATAAAAAAACATTACTTATGATTCTACTTGCCCGGCCGTCTCAATCAAAATCGATGCGAACCTTACATCATAATGTAAAGAAAGCTTTCCGTTCTTCGAATATAGCTGAATTTTTTTTATTACAGAACCAAATTTTTCAGTCTTTTGCCATACTTGTCATACTTTCTCTGCCATACTTGCCAGAGCGAGCACGAGCGCGCTCCTCGATACTCAAGCAAGACACCGACCAACTCCGGTATGGGTTTTTCTCACTGAGTTGTTTCCCATATCACGGTCATAACCCCGGCCCGGGCAAATGCGGAGATGGATGGAGGGAAGGATAGGAAAAAGGATAGGTAAAAATGATTAAATAAAGGTTAAGCCTCCAATACGGAGGGCACTTTTCAGGCCAAATAGACTGAAAGTGTATAAACCCGCCCAATATATATAACGATACTCAAGCCCATATGGTTGTTTGGGATCCAGCTATGGGGAACCACTTCGACCTCGAGTATCGAAATCTTGGAAAGATTTCAGTCAAAAACTCTGCGTAGTCTTGTTCAAGCCCCCTGGTACATATTCAACGAACAAATAAGCCGTGAGCTGAAAATTGACAACGTAAAGTCTGAAATTCATCGCTTTCACACCAGATATAAAGCAAGATAGGAAAAACATCGGAATTAACTTGCCAAAGAACTACTCACAAAATACATTATCCGCAACTCCAGGTTGAAGAAATACAAATTTAATCTTTAAATCTACCAACAAGCTATTCACTGCCTCGTAATAATAAACTATAACTGGTCTATTTTAAAACTTTGTAAGCTACTCAATGTAGTGTTTGCATATAGATTATCTTTATTTTTTTCTTATTTTGCTAAATATATACGTAAAAATTCACTTAATATCATGTATGATAGCTTGTTATTATAAACAGAAATTTAAAAAAAATTATTTATTATTAATTTTAATATTGCTGATAAAAGAGTAAAATCGATGGTAGTTATGGTAACTTAAATTATGGTAATGCAGTATGGAAAGGAATGGTGAAACAACGGTACTGGCGTAGGCATAGCTGGTATGATTGGGACTTTCAATGCGTTAGCGCTTAATTGAAATATTTGATACAGACGTAGCTGTGTAGAACATCGCACCACTTTCCACTCACTGATAATACTTTTCATCTATTCTCGCTGCTTGGCGCTAGTCTTACATGGTTTTAAATGCACGGGCGTCACGTCTACCTTATCTACGATATCCATTTTAATGTTATCTGTGCAGTCTAACTCTCAATCTCACGGCAAACAACATACGCGATACTTGTTTAACAACTCAATAGTGAAGCTTACTGACGGATCAACTGCCAAAACAGACTTAACTATCGTTTATTTCCTCGTACCAAATTACACATAATGCTCGGGATTTTATCATTTGCTTTCACTTTTACCCAATTCTTATTCGTATTTTCAACTGGAAAATTTCATTCATTATCATTATTTTTTACGCAAATAAAATTCATAGAGGCTGACGGTATTTTCTTTGACTCAAGCAGATGGGTTTTATGCATAGGCTCCAGATAATCTATAAACAGTTGATTATCGGTCGTTCCAAATTCGAATTTATCGTCAAATTTGAAGTAAAATACATTCGACCAGTCAAATTCTGACCATCATACGGCAACACTTCGTCAGTCGTGACACAAAAAATCACATCTTTCTCTGTATATTCATCAACCTGTATCTGCTCTTTCATTATTACGCTCAAAATAATCTCACATGCCAGCTTATTAATGCCTTCGATGATATTAGATATTTTAATAAATTTAAATCCATGTTCGAGAACTAGCGATGCTTTTATAATACAATCTAAAATTCCGGAGTCAATTACCGCGCAAATATTTTCAACATCGCTAATTTTAACATTCTTAAAGATTTCCGCAGATGAATCAAAATTAATAGTAGTTACTTATTTTGTTTCTGCCACGGGAATATTTTTCCGCTTGTCGCAATTATTAGAAATGTGTCTAGTGATACCACACTATAGCATTAAACAGTGTTTTTACAATATTTTGCTATGAGACCCGTTGCGTGACACTTGTAGAATTCTATGTTAAATAAGCTGTTCGACTTTCTGTTATTGTCATCTTTGAGTCCGATGTTGCTCGATTTCATGGAAGAGTCAAGCGCCTCACTGCTGCTGCGTTGCATCTTGCCACCATAACTCTCTCTATGTCGATCATCGCGCTGTTGCTCTGCTTGACGCTGCCACGAGTCCATTCGATATTTTTTCACTTGTTCCAATCCTTTCAGCTCCGTAATTTTTCGCAGTAAATCATTCTCGTCCAAGTACGTTTTCGGCATAGCTGCACTACTGTATTTTTCGACCATAGCCCAACAGCTATTTTTGTCTGTATCTAGTCTATAGAGAATTTTAATGCCTTGCACAGACAAAATTAATCGAAGAAATACTCCCGCGCGTTTTCACTTTATCCTTGGCTTCTGTTTTGCATTTCTTGACACTTATGGGTTTGAGACTTCCCAGCCAAAAATGTATCTCGGAATGTCGTTTTAAATACAGCAGGCCCTCCGTATTCGCGGATTCAGTATACGCGAATTCTATATTCGCGGAATTTTCTGTTGATACCTTCACTCCGTATCCGCGGAAACAAAATTCGATATTCGCGGTGTTTACCTGATGCCAAACGTAACTTTTTGGTTAACTTTTGTATTTGTTGTTTACATTTTTTAAACGATGACATTAAATCCTTATAAAGAGTTGCACACAGACATGGTTCGGCGAATAAAACAATCCCGCATTACGGAATATTTTGAAAAATGCCAATAAAATAAATACTTTCAATTATTCAATACTTTTGTTATTCGACATTATTATTATTACATGTATTATCATTATTTTTTAATTATTCGCGGATTCCGTATTCGCGGTGTTTTTTAGGAACCTAACTACCGCGAATACGGAGGGCCTACTGTATTCGCAATTTATGATGGACATTTCTTAAACATTGTTACAAAAACTTTTGAGAGTCTTCAGATCAAAATTGATAAAAAATTGAAGTTAAAATCCTGACATGGCCCTTTGGAATCATGATTTATTAAATATTGGTCCTGAACTAATTTAAATAATAAAACTGCGCTCGTTGTACTGGCTGATTGGCCGGGGTTCGACCTTGACGCTAGAGAATAAGATCCTGATCTACAGGTCAATTCTGAGGCCAATTTGGACGTAAGGATGTCAGCTATGGGGTAGAGCGGCCAACTCAAACATTCAAGTCATAGAGAGATACCAAGCAAAGGTGCTCCGTTGCTTAGTGGAAGCCCTGTGGTATGTTTCCATCTTCGCAATGACCTAAATATCCCAACCTTGCGTGAAGAGATTGGGAAACTTATCAATATATACTAGAGTAAGTTAGAACTGAACTCAAATCCTCAGGCGTCAGTCCTGGCACGGCCACCCAAGAGGACAAGACTCAGACTCAAAAATTGTTAAAGACAGGCCGGTGTGCATTGGCTCACCAACCTGACTCCCGGTTATTTGTCAAAACGCGCTGTATTCTATTTACTTATTGTCCCTTTATATAACGACAGATTGTAAATAAAGAAAGGAAAAAGCTAAAAAAAAAGACTAGTTCCCGTTCAATCAATGCACCGTGTTTTCAAAACTTTCCAACCACGGGAAAAATGAACGATTTTGAAATAGTTTACGTAAAATTAAAAGTATTAATTAAATTTTGTTTCAATAAATTTTTTTATTCCTTGATTGACATTCTTCAAATTACTACCTTACTGAAAATTAAAGTCACCATATTGAAAAAGTTATGCTAGTAACGTACCCTACTTTCACCTGAAATTTTCCGTAAGGTGATTATTTTCTATCGTTTATTATTCGTGTCATCATTCAATCTTGGGACTCCGAGTCAATTCACGATCATGCATACATTTCCATTCTTTCGATGCGGCCGTTATTCTGATATGTAAATTTTCCGATAAAAAAGAGTGCAATAGGTAAATATAAATAAGTCAATACTCACTGGATGTAGATCGATATATGTTTGATGGAGATCACTTTGAGGTTCAAGACCATCAACATTCTTGAATAAAGAATTATCGCCATGATAGAAGTGAGGAAATGATGCAATAATAGGTGCTCCGTAATGGCACGAAGAAACATCAAATAAACCTTTGTATTCACAATTTTTCTGGTGGATATGATAACAAATTGGTTTTGCACATAGAGTGTCAACATTTTTTCGTTGAGTGTAAGAATGTTCATTCATTTTATATCTGCAATTAAAAATAGATAATACATACTTCATTTAATGATAATTTCTCTTGTATCTCTTTTATGCATTTAACTTTATACTAATATAAAGTGTAAAACGTTGAGAGAAACATTATTTTTTGTAAATAGTACAAAACTTTAAATATTTTTTAAAAATTATTAATCAGTTTCTTACCTAAAAGTTTTAAGCCCTCGTGAAATGCTTTCACCGACATAGCTAAAATGAATTGTTCGACAAAGTTCTTTTGCAAAGACTTTCAAAGTTCGATTACGATTATGCAATAAAAATGGAGGAAACATGCTACCATCAGAACCATCGATTATATTACATTTATCATTCATTTCCAATGACTTATATGTTCCTCTATTAATTTTTACTGTATTTCCAAGCTTTTCTAAATTATTTATGCCAGTTTCAATCGTTATGCGATCTCCAGATAAACCTACTTTCTAGAACAATATTTATTAGGAATAATTTTATTCAAGAACTTCGTTGCATAGAAAAATAATCTGCAAACTTTTTTAAGTAGAGTAAAATTGCCAGTTACCGGACACTTTAGGATTTTTTTTCTTCAAAAGATTAGGGTCACCAAGTGTAATTAAGCGAAGTATTTCAGTACGAAATTTTGTGCGGCCAAGTGATTTTATAAAAAAATTGACAAAATTCCCCGTTTTCAGACTAAAATTCTAGTTTCTGGACTGTTAGTAGTAAAAATATGATGTTAATTAAGGAGAGTTCACACACACACATTTGTTGGTGTACAAATTTTTCAAAAACTTCAATCCAAATTCTACAATCTTGTGTTCAATTCGTTATCGATTCAGCCGCTGCAGTTCATTAAACCAGCAGAGTTGCAGTTGCAGCGCAAGCCAGTTGAGTCATCTATATCAGCATCAACAATCGTTCACCGGGCTTACGCATATTATTTGTAGTTAGTTCAGTAAGTCTAGATGTAAGTTGTAACATTTTAGCGTGTTACCAGGCCACATCTATCACGGCAGAGTCCAGTGGGTGACAAAATTTTTTATTTATGTTCTTTTTTGCAGCGTAAACATATACGCGTACACATATTCTTTGGTAATTGTATTATTTAGTTGTAATAAGACGTTACCATTGTGGGACTGGTATTGCAAATAAACTCTATTTGCTTTTTTATTAAATAAAAATCTCCTTGTGGCTTATTTAACCGACTTCGGACTTGACATTATTTTAAGGATACAAGCCTTCAACTGGCTGCAGCTTGCCGATTTACGTGTTGACAGTCGAACCGACAGTTGTCAGACTATGTTATCGTCTCTGAAACTATCGTCAATTAAAATAATCTTTTTATGACGCCTTTTTAGGAAATTTCTTGAGGAATTAGTGAAAATGCAATTTAGGTTTCAAATAGTCAGAAATATATATGTTACCGGCAAAACCCGATTTTAGGCATTTCGCGAACTGCCTAGGCATTTTGCGAAATGCCTATGATTTTAGGCAAACCCTGAAATGCCTTCTAAATTGTACAAACTTCCTAAATTTTTGAGGCATTTCGCGAACTGCCAAGGCAAAAACAGTATTGCCTGAAACATTTTAGGCTTTTTTGAATAATCTATGAAAACTTTAATTTGTAAACAAATCATGCTAACTATAGACTAATATTACTTTATAGAACTCTGTCGTGTACTGGATTTGTTTTCAGTCACTTCGTACACTCGGCACAACAAGTACACTCTTTCTAACTTCGGCTTAATATTATATAATCTTATATAACCGTTATAATTAGCAACGATGTCGGAAAGTAGTGTAAATATGGAATCGGTTTCTGAAAACTGGAAAGAAGTGTTATTTAAAGAAGCAAGTAAGGGCGATCACTACAAAGTGATTGTAAAAAGTAAATACGACGAAATAGTACAAGATGTACTACGGGCAAAATTGTCGTCGGAGAAAAAAAGTGCACTCTCCGACAAAAAGAACTCAAACATTTTTGTGGCCAGAAAACGAGCCGTTAAGGCTTTACAACATCAGGCGAAGAGAATGAAGCCCAGGTCGGATAAATTACACAAACCAGTGACGATAGGTGATTGCGTCATAGTACCTATTCCAGACGTAGACAGGGCCAAAAGTGATTTGCGAAATATTATAGGAGTCGTTTTGGAAGAAAACGACGGCCTCTACAGAATAGGTACTAAAAATGGCGTAATCAATAAGCAATATTCGAGGTAAAATATATAATTATAAATATATACGTATTATTTTACATATTTTAATTGTTTTTTTTTTTTATTTTTCTATTTACAGATCTGAGTTTGACGTTTTTCAGCAAAAGTTTTTACAAAAATTGGATGAGCCGATGACAGCTTTGTCCTTAAGAACACTAGCGACTCAGCAATCGCATGCAGGAGGACAAGGCTATTTCAAATGTAGCTGTAGAAGTTATTGCAAGACCAAAATTTGTATATGCAGAAAGAATAATGTATTATGCAACTCAAAATGCCATAGCAGTGTGACTTGTTGCAATAAATAGAAATTTGCAATATTTTTTTTTCATGACAAACTAGTTGGAACTAGTAATAAAATTAGCTTTTTTTATTGCATAACAAATTTAATATGAAAAAATTATTTACTATTGACTGATAATTTTGTTTTATCAAAAATGCCTAAAATGTTTCAGGCAATACTGCTTTTGCCTAAGCATTTTGGGAAATGCCTATGATTTTTAGGCAAAGTCCGAATTGCCTGACACATTTTAGGAACTTCCTAAAATTTTTAGGCATTTCGCGAAATACCTAGGCAGTTCGCGAATCGGGTTTTGCCGGTAACGTATACAGTTATTTGGCCTGAATGCATTAACATCATGCTCTAATAACGTTTCAAAACAAATTTGGCATATTATAATTAATATTAGGGTTATTTTTTATCTTGAATTTAAAATTGTCCAAAAACTGGATAGTGTCTGGTAACTAGCACATTTATTCTATTAACTTTTTTTATCTTACTCACCGGAGCTAATAATCCAAATTTTTTGGACAATGGCGCATTTTGATTCCACATCATGAAATGACGGGCAAAATCAAATAATTCATCATCATAACCCCAAAGAAATTCTTTTGCTGAAATTGAAATGTAAGATTTTGCTTGGATAGTAGATAGTATAGCTGTTAATGATACTTGAACCAAAAAACTCATTTCTCGTACTAAGGATATTGCTGTCAAAACAGGAATATTTGGAACATTCAATATTAAATCATATGATATATTATTATGTCTCATCTCATCGTAAACTCGATTTTCTTGATATGTTATAGTTCCATCAGTATTCATTTGTAAATTTACTCTTGTAAGATTTTCTTTATATATGAACGGTCCAACTTCTTGAACTTTTAGCTTATCTTCAAAATTGATTTCACTAGATTGGATATTAGTATAGTTGAAAATATAAATACGATATAAAGCTTTTACTAGAGGAGTTTTCCACCATAAAAATGTTAACGAGCCATTTCTTAACTGCAATTCACTAGTAATTAATCCATCGATATAATTTGTCATCCACGTTAAAATTATTATTATAAAACAGAGTATTAAAATAAAAATGGATATCCACATAACGCTTCTTAAATGCGTATTGTATTGCCTTCTTATAACCATGTCAACTGAATTTTTAATACGCTGTTTAACTGAAAAAAATGTACCTTTCATTAAATTAACTATGGATTATATTGACAAAAAAATTGATTAACATGAATTGTAAGCGGTGACACATATGTTTGATTAAAATTAAGGTAGGTGGCCTTGTTTTTTCTCTATAGTTTTTGCAAAAAATATTTATCAGCTTCTATAAACTACAGTAAACTAATAGTAACAAAGAGGGCGTGAGCTGGGCGAGGTCACACAATATATTCTGGGATTAATATATATGTTGCTGGCTAGCCCCGAAATGCCTAAGCCAAACCCGTATTGCCTAATCCATTCAGAGATTTTTATACGAAAACTGGACTTTGTTTTGTAAACAATGAGGCTAATTATAGGGTGACATAGTACTGAATAGACGAAATTGTCTTTGCTAGACTCATCGTGTTGACAAAACTACAGCTATTTCTTATATTAATAAGATGAGCGGTGTCAGGGTAGATAATTTAAGTCGCCTGGCAAGGGATAAATGGCAATGGTCAGAAAAGAGAGAACTCTTTTTCTTTTTGTTAGAGAGCCTTTTCGCAGGCACAATCAGTGCGGGTTACTCTGTCTCCCTATGCTCTCCTCCTTATCGACTGTTGCCGCGGGCAAGAGAGCCAGGAGGCATAGGGGCGCTAGTCATCTCTGTGTGATCTCCCCACGAGACGGCCGCATACGTGATCATTACTGTTCACTCAGAGCTACAGTGCGCATCTCGCATAGTTATAGTGTTGAGCAAAAATAAAGTTTATACTTAATATTATTCCGACATATATCTCCACTGTGTCTCTGTTTTATATGTCAATCCTCCACAACATATATTATACTCTCACTCTATTTAATATTTTAAGTTAAGTCTAATACTTTTTGTTGAGATAAATTTCATATATACATGTAATAATAGCGACACCTGTATAGGCAGGTCTGCGGCGAGTGCTCCGATTGAGCGAGTGTTAGTCGCTTGTGTATCACGCTAGAGAGCTGATCATAATAAACTCATTATTCGTCTACGTAACTTATTTCAGTTCGTTTCCATACCTCTGTTTCTTTATATATTATNGGGGTTATACACCTTCAGCCTATTTGGCCTAGAAAGTGCCCTCCAATTGGAGGCTTATACCTTTATTTAATCATTTTCACCTGTCCTTTTTTCCTAACCTTTTTCCTATCCTCTTTCCATCCCTTTATCCATCTCCGCATTTGCCCGGGGTTATGCCCGTGATATGGGGAAAAACTCACAAGGAGACCACATGAGATGCGGGTCACCAAATGTCCTGAAAATTTTTTTCTGGTCTCCTGGTATCTAATAATAAAGCCCCCTATGCTTAGTTTAATCCAATGGGCCTTAAGGCCCATTTTAAAAATCATTTTCTAGTTTATTGAAAAATCTTTGTAATTTTCTAACTCGTAATAGGACATATTAAACGGAAAATTGCACAATGTACAAGTCTTAGAATTAGTCAAAGAATACATTTGAATTTTTTCAGGATTTTTGAAACCTGCTATCACCTATTTTCAAAGGCCCAATTTTAACGCGTTTTTACTTTTTTCTTAAGAATTTCAGAGACCTTTGAAAATAAGTGATAGTAGGTTTCAAAAATTCTGAAAAAATTCAAATGTATTCTTTGACTAATTCTAAGACTTGTACATTGTGCAATTTTCCATTTAATATGTCCTATTACGAGTTAGAAAATCACAAAGATTTTTCAATAAACTAGAAAATGATTTTTAAAATGGGCCTTAAGGCCCATTGGATCAAACTAAGCATAGGGGGCTTTATTATTAGGTACCAGGAGACCAGAAAAAAATTATCAGGACATTTGGTGACCCGCATCTCATGTGGTCTCCTTGTCAGTGAGAAAAACCCATACCGGAGTTGGTCGGTACCTTTATGGCACCTCTCGCTAGCATATGATGACGCTGGCAAACACAGCTAGCGATGCGTGAGGGCGCTATGCGCTTGACGGAATGGGTTCCCTGGAGGTCACCCATCCACGTACGTACCGCGGCTTATAATGCTTTATTTCGCACATCGCTCGAGCCGTGAGTACCTCGCCCCACCACCTGCTTCGGTCCTCTGTTTCTTTATATATTCGTACACTTTTCGCTTCTTATATATCCTCAGATTAAAACGTTGTAGCTGATAAGCTTTCACGTATGCTTAAGATCGAGACTGAATGGGAACTAAATCTAAAATATTTTAGAAAGCTCATGTCCGTTTTCGACCAACCCAAGGTAGATTTGTTCGCGTCTGAGTACAATAAACGTAATTTTTTGTTTTATAGAAACCCTCTGAGGGCTTGTCAATCATAGATGCATTCACAATTGATTGGAAAAATCAGCTATTTTACATTTGTCTACCGTTTAATTTATAACTGAACATGCTTACAAAAATTAAACGAGATCAAGCCTCAGGAATCGTCGTCGTGCCGTTCTGGAAAAACCAGCCATGGTTTACGCTTTTTAAAAATATGATTATAGGAAAAATGATCGTCTTTGAGCCTAGCGATGACTTACTGATTTGTCCTTACAGTCCACAGATCCACTCGCGAGCTCGCTACACGCGACAGATTGCCACCAAAGTATCCGGGAAGCGTTCGCTACAAGAGGCATTCCATTCGAAGCACTAGAAAGGGTGCTCGCATCTCTCTCCAAATCAACGGTGAAACAATATAGTTCAGTGATAAAGCAGTGGATCGAGTTCCGCGACGAAAATCAAAAAGAGTATTTTGATACTAGTTTCTCGAACGTAGTGAAGTGCTTATCAAGCAGATTTGAAAGGGTTGCTGGTTACCCATCAATAAACTCAATGAGGGGTGCCTTACCTCTCATTTTACCAAATAAAATTGGAGAACATGCGGACGTTTCCCAGTTTATGAAAGGAGTTTTCAAATTACGCCCTTCGAGGCAAAAATACGATTTTGCTTGGGATATTGCTGTCGTATTGAATTTTTTCGAGTCACTAGACTGTAATGATATTAAGCTTTTAACATATACGACAATAATTTTTTTTTGCTTTAAGTACAGCGCAACGCACCCAAACGTTATCATTCATAAATATTTTAAATATAGTTAATGTACAAGAGAGTTTAAATTCGAATACCCGTCTCTATTAACCCGTTAACGCTCAAACGGACAGAATTTTCTTTTCTTCTGTAGTCTGAAATTAAATCATCTTAACGAAGCGAGAGAAATTTTCGAGGACCCATTTTCTATGTACAATTTAATGTACTTTTCGAATATGAATTCATAATTGATCTCTGATGAATATTAAAAAAATTGTAAACCATTTACAGTCGTCCCTGTTTTTACGTGGTAGTTCCGTACCAAAAAAGTACCGCGTACAAAAAATGGCGTAAAAAACATTGCTCTTATGGGAAAAAAGGGGTACCGTGCAAAAATGTGACAAATTTTCGATTTTCAAAACATTTTATTCAAAAATACATGTAAAAGTTACTTAAAAAAATCAGTAACGCGTGTCTGTTTAGCACGTCTCATAATATTTTTGTGTAATTCAACGAAAGCAGTCACAGCAACTTCACAATCATGCTTAAATTTCATGCTACGCACCATGATCGGATCATATTCGAGGGCCACATCAATGGCTTCCTGGATCAAACTCAAGAGTTTTTTTACATACAAAACATTAAGCATATCTTCTAGTTTTTCAATGTTTATATTCCTGGTATACTTCGCAGTCTAATTGTAATAATATATTGCAACGGTACTACTCGATCGGAGCACTCGCGAGCAGCCTTACCGACACACTCGTGACCACAGGGGAGGTCTGAGCAAGTCGGTGACGGCGAGCGAAGGAGAGCGAGGACCAAGTGAGCACGCGTAATGCCCCACCGAAGCCCACGGGATAAGATACGCTTGTACTCGTGCGACGGCGCTCGTCGCAGCGCCGAGAGTCCGCCTGAGTGGGAAGAGTTTCTCTCTCTCTCTCTCTCCCCTAATTTACATAGAAAAACGGCGGCGAAATGACCTAATTAGCGGGGCAGGACCCGGATAGGTGGGAGAGCGCACCGCGACCTATAAAAGGCGCGTGCAAGGACCACGCGGGACTTATTGTCACAAATTACAAAACCAGGCCCAGGTCTAACCCGGCATCAGCCTATATTTTAAGTTAGCAGGCCACTCGTACCGCAACGTCAAAGCACGTCGCCACTCACGTGGTAGTCGTGCTGACGGAGGCTTAACTGGAAAGGTAAGACTCAGCCGCAAGCTCTTTCGCCCAGCGAAGAGTCCGGCTGTTTATTTACGAGTACGTGCCAAGGCGCGTCGCCTTATTGTACCAGACTGTATGTACCAGTTCACCGCGGTTCCTTTTGGGTTGAAGGTCGCAAGCGCCGCACTCAACCGAGCAGCAGAAGGCGTACTCAACGGAATGCAGGGACGAGTCATCGATTTCGTAGACGATTGGCTCATAGTGTCACCTGATTTTGACCAACATGTGCGAGATTTGGACGAACTACTTACTAAGATCAACAACGAGGGAGTAACGGTAAATTTCTCGAAATTGGAGCTCACGAGAAAAGAAATACGATTCGTCGGCTACATCTTGACGCCGCGGGGAATTTCGATCGACGAAGGAAAAGTCGACGCTATACGACGTTTTCCAACACCGACAACCACTACGCAGGTAAAAGGGTTTCTGGGACTTATTAATTTTAACTCCTGGTTCACAGAGAAACTAGCCGAGACAAGCGCGCTGCTGATTGAATTGACAAAGAAGTCTACTCAATGGCGTTGGACAGACACAGAGGAGCGAGCCTTCAACGATACGAAGGAACTTTTTTGCCGATCCATACTACTACACCACCCGATAAAGGACAAACCATTCATCCTTTACACCGATGCAAGTAACACCGCACTCGGTGCAGCCCTTTGCCAAGAGCCAGAAGAAGGCGATGTACGAGTACTGTATCTGGCCAGCCGCACGCTAAAAGGAGCCGAGAAAAATTACTACACCACCGAGCTGGAACTCTTGTCCATCGTCTGG